CCACCATTCTGAAACCCAAGACCACCTGCCTGAATCCATTCCTCAGACTCCAGTATCTTCTGGACATGTACGGTCTGACAGCTTTCCATATTGGATTCAGCAAGTACTGCACAAACCTGCTCCAAAAGGATCAGGCTTTTCCATCCCTCATGCCACAGGTATTTTCTTATCACCGGCAGAAAGATCTGCTTTTCCTCCAGGGAAAGAATTTAGGAACACCTGACTTTGAATCTGCCCGCTAGGGAGAACTTGAATCGATGTCTGGACCAGCAGTACCATCATCGTTAATCAGAGGGTCATCCAGCTAACTTCTATACATCTATATGGTGTAATAAAGAGAGCTACCCCAGGCAGTTAAAACGTATCATTAGGTTTGGGTACAGTAGCGATAACAAGAGGAGGAAACGCTCTGAAGTTTATTAAATCTACTGAAACCTGAAGAGGTAAAGTGGCAGTGGAATACTTAAAGGTCAGTTTGTGATTAAAAAGATTAGTATGGAAGATGTTCATTTCCATCTACGAAGAAATAGGACTGCAGTTCATCCCAGCCATCGCCTGGGAAAGTCTGAACCTGGAATGATGGCGCGACCCACCAGAATCCAGGGAGGGTTTCCAGATTTTGTTCCTTGCTGGTTTGGATGGTCTACAAAGCTCCTGGGACTCCGAATGACAAATGCAACAAATGAACAACTTTCTCTTAGGCTAAGGAAAGGACAGCCGCGTACAGTAATCTGCTGGTCGGAAGGCAAGCAGCTCGGCTGAACTGCAAGAACAAAACACTGGGGTTTTTTTTTTAAGTCTCAACCTTTCTTTTCATTTTCCGCTGTGCTTCCATTTTCCCTCTGGCACTTGACATTTTGGGGACTTGTTACACTCGCCTTAACATCTCCCATTTTCACCATGATCCTGACGGCACCGTTACTCCGCAATAGCCTGCTTTTGCTTGCCCAAATCCTCCTGTAGCTCGCACTTGCTCCTCTTCGCAGCACTTCCCCCTTCCCGTGATTAGCAGGGCGCTCGTTCTGTTCTTCCACACCAAACTGACGCGGGAATCTCCCCATCCCGACATTTATCTTTCCATTCAGGTGAACGAAGAACAAGGGCTTCTGGGGAACATGGCAGCAGTCGGTAAAATCCCACCAAACGCATTTTGGAGGGGAAAGACTTTTGGGGGGTTTTCCTCTGTGGTGGTGGTGTTCTAATGAATGACAAATGCCTGCAGAGCCACAGACGTTCATCATTTCTGTATTATCGTAACATGAATATAAGAGGACTAACAATGGCAACACAGCCCATTCAAACTTTAATTAGAAAATGAAGCCTTTGCCTGTTGTTCGAGCGGTTTCATTTTCCTCGCCTTCCAGCCGTACCACTGGCTCTGCGGTTGCGTTACAGCTCCTCACTGCGATGCTACAAGGACGGGCTCCCAGGGAAAGCCTGCCCAGAACACGGCACGTGGCTGCAAACCCGCACACGCCGAGCGCAGGTTCTTGCTGTGCTGTGCTCGCTCCTCTGAGCTCACCCTGAGCTGCAGGGCTGGGCTGAGGCTTCAGCAATCTTCTCGACGTGCGAGGACACGCCATCACAACCTTCTTGGGAAGAGTCCAAAGCAAGAGCAGCCAGAATACAATATTCTGCTGCCATGGTTGTTCTAAAAATCAACACATTCTGCTTTTTTCCCCCAAAAAACCTTGCCAAAGCCTTTCAACTTGGTTGATGCTTGGTTAAGTTGGCTATGGAGCTTGTTCCAAATGCAACTTCTCATGAAGTGATTACTATTTACGTGTGCACTTCCTCTGGCTCCCTGTCTACTGCAATTATGCAAATAAGATGCAACTTTACCCTTTCGGCATAATTATCTCAAACACAATCGGGCTATATTAAGACTGACTTAAGACAAATGAATTCAGCTCATGCAATGACTTCCTAGATCACCCCATGGGACTATGGCAAAGAAAATTTTGTCCCATGAGTGACGTCAAGCATCAAGACAAATAACTGCGCAGCTGGGGCCCGATTCTGTAGGAGACCAAGACTCTCCGGAGCTGGAGGCTGCTGGGATGTTCCCACTGTTACCAAAACCAGGAACTTCAAAGGGGGTGTGTGCAGATAGGTGTAAGCACAGCAACACCCTGCGTTTCACATCTGCATTTTGAAGTGAAGAGTCCTGGCTGGGGGAGAAGACGTATTTGAAAAATGCCTTTTTCTATAGAACGGCTGGTTCAGTTTATGACTTACATGACAAACGGCTTTACAGACAAAAAAATCCAGGTAATCCAGGCATACCATCCTCACATTAACATGCAGGCACGTTAATTTTCAATGCAATGTAACATTATTTTGGCTTATTAGACTAACATTTTTTCCCTGAAGCGTGAGAGGAGGCCTGCAGTCTCCCATCTTCCCAGTTAAGGTATGGGAGATGCAGTACTCTCTGTTTCCAGTGGAGTTTGTTGGGAATCTTTTTCTACCATATTACAAATACTATTTACAGTGATGAAAGGAAAGAAAAAAAAAAAGAAGATGCTCTTGAGGAGTAAAATAGTTATTCATCCCTGCTAAAGAAGTTCTCATCAAATCCAGTGGGAATTAAGTTGGTGCTTAACTGTTGCCTTGCCCCGGGGCCCGTGAGCTGCAGGGGCAGGCGGCGGCACTGCCGCACATCACCGCAGGAGCAGGAGACTGCCAGGCTGGGATACTGCTTGAGACACGGTTCTTCAGGGCAAATTGAGTTCCATTCTGCTAATTTAGTTTCTTTCCATCGATTTATAGGGAAAATCAAGGCTTCTTATTTCATTTATTTTATGTATTCATCAAAAGAAATGCATTACTAAATTTTAGGAAGCAGATGTTCATAGCTGGATGATAAAAGAATAACATTAAAATGTCTCTTTCCAGTTCTCTGGGATTCATAGCCAAATGAAATTACTACAACAACAGAAAGAAAAACAAAACAACATACAGCAGTCTAAATGCAAGCAAGGCAGACAATCCATACGGATAACGGCCTCAGTAAGCAATGAAATGCTAATACCTAAGGATTACTTATTTCTGTAAGCAACAGATTTCACTGGATGTTTCTCTCAGAGGATGAAACAGAAAGGGAATCAGGCTGGAAGGGGAAACGTCGAGTTGTGGAAAACTGCTGCAGGAGAATGGGAATTTCCTCTGCGCTCTTAACCATGCCTTTACTCTTCCTCCTAACAGGACCAAGCAGATGGCAGATGCAGATGGCAATTAGGGATGGATGAACGGGATTGAAAAAGGTAAGAACCAGCCTGAACCCCTCCGAGGGGTCACGGAGCAGCCAGGGAACCTTTGCTACCAACGGTGCAACTGCTGTTGTGGGACACTTCGCTCTGCCTCTCGAACCGACTTTTGGCTGAGTGTATTTTCCTTTCTGGAAAGTAAAGGGCAACTCACAGACCTCAAAATATCTCTCTGCTGTCTGGCACCCACTGCTGAAGAATGAACACAATTATGGATAGGCAAAATGTAACTCAAGCATCACAAACCAGTGATCCTGCAGTCAAGGTGACTACAAGTGCAAAATGCAACTAGCCAACCTTCAGGCAATACTCTGACGTAGTCACTGAATAAGAAGATATCTGTGGGCTCAATGGACTTTTATTCTTCTGCAGATGCACTAAACACACTGATCCTTGTAACTGTTGTTTAACCGACCTTCTATACCCGAACCCTTCCGCTCTGTTACCCTCACTTAGGGTGTCCGACAGCAAACCTCGTGTTTCCCATTGTGTCCAACATGTTCAATGTCTAACATAGAAGGAAAATATTTTAAAACAAACAAACTTGTAAAGTTTTTATTTCTGGGTACTGTTGGCAGACTTTTCACTTCTGTGTCAGGAACCCTCAGGGATGAACACAGACAGTATGAAGAGATTATTAAAATACCCTGGTTTTCAGAAAAAAAAAACCCCAAACATTTCATTGTCTATCAACTCTACGTATTTATGGAGAAATAACATGCAAAAATGCCCCCAGGGTTTAAAAAATGTAAAAGGATGAGGCATATGGTATACCTGAGAAGAATAACTAAGGAGGTGGTAGCACAGACACAGCAAAGATGAATGCGGATGTTTGGTTTTCTGGTGAGTGAAGACACCAGGACCTATTTTACTGTGGGCAATGTGTTTAAGGACTCTTTGGAGACCCTGCCTGACACCAAGCCACGTACCAGCCAAGGAGCTTGTTTCCTTTGCTCGGTGTCTCCCTTGTAAAGTCCTTTCCATACTCTAGAGATCACAGACTCTAACTGGCGAGTTTGGTTTGCCCAGAGGAAGCCCTTTGGACAGTTAAGCATCTATGCAGACAAAAGGGATAACAAAGCAAGGCAAGACCAGACAACAAATACTTCAGAACACAAAGAGATGTCGAGAAATGAAGGGATTATGTAAAAAAACCTTTTCCATAATTTTTATATACATATGCATATATGCTAGTACGTATATTAGTGAAGCACACAAGCAATATGTATAAATAAATATAGCGCTTGATCTGAATGAAATAAAAGTTAAGCTAAGTCTAAATGGGAACGGCTGATTTAAAAATGAATTTTTACTTCTTCAGCAGAGAACTTACCTATGGCTTCAGAGATGATACAGCAATTGCAAAAGGTTTTTCTCTCCCTATGTATATACATGGCACGTTAAGATCATTTGGGTTTATTTTCTTTTAAACGACAAAGGCCCTGTCACATCACCACAGCTTAATACAAGCTTTGAAATCGTGCTTTTAGTAGATAACTGCTGGTAGCTTCTCAGCTGTGGAAACAACATCCAGTTTTCAGATGAGGAACACAGACATTCAGGAAAATTTCGGGAATGAAGACTTACTCCACGTACTTTATGACCCTTGTTTCATACCATGTCTGTACACAATTCTTCACAAAACACATATGAGAAAAATAGACAGGCGATCGACTTTGTACCGGCAGCGTATAAGAAGCACGACAGAGTGGAGCAGAAGAGAGGCCTTACCCTCAATGGTCGCTCGCTTGGGCAGGATGAAATGACCAACTTGATCCGCCCTCTTAGCGGCCGCAAGGATTTGCCTGTGGAAAAGAACATTTTGTTCACAAATTAATTCCATGTAGACATATAATTGTTTGGGAAAAATGGCATGTTGCAACTGCAGAATGAACAGAAACGGCATATTCCTGTGACCGACCGAGCTCAGGAATTTCGCAACACGCCCTATCGCGATCCATGCAGCACAGACTGGACCTCTCTTTTAATTCACCCTGTATCCTAAGACTGAAATCCTGATTCTGGTAAAACTCGTAGTTTTGCCACTGACTTTACTGAAACTCCATCCTAACCTCCCCGTGTCTCATGTTGTTTAACTGAGCCTCTCCAGCAATTGGCAATGCCACCACAATTTTAAGATAATTTAAAATTCTGGAGAGAGAATATGTAACACAGGCAAGTGAGGAAGGAGAGTCACACTTCTGAAATACTCTCTATCATTTTAGGACCAAGTCGTACGTGGTTAAGCACCTTGTGTGGTTTAACCTTGAGCATCAACTCCATTTTATCACCAGTAACCATCACTTGCCATAAAATAGACTCCGAATTAAGGAATAATACATAGTAGCACGAGCTTGGAGAGGGGCGTCTTCTTAATGCCTCTTTGATCAACATTCCCATGTCCCCACGACAGCGATGCTTGGCCTGGGGCACCACATGGGCCAGGGCAGCAACAGCAGCACCTCCATCCCTGCTGGTACCCTCCACAACGTAACCTCCACATTGCTCTTACCGAAAGACCTTTCCACTTCACTATTCATATTCTTACTTGCTTCCTCTTTTCCGCATAGCTATCAAGCACAAATTAATTAATTCCCTCAGTCATCCTTACTTTATGTCCTCATCATTGGCAAAAATAACGATGGCCCTGGCATTGGGAGTTTCTAGGAGCTGCTTGATAATCTTATCAAAGTCGATGGTCTTGTCCTTGCGATCCTGGGGGATTTTCAGGGACTGAGCAATGCAGAGCCCACCTGTTGAAGAAAGAAGAAAGAAGAAAAGGACTTGGTCACTGGAAAGCACAGGAAAGGCAGTGGGAAACACATGGCTGGAGGGGGAGCCTGGGGGGGAAGAGAAACTCTGCGATGGGATCGCTGCCCTTACAGAGCATTTAATCTTCATGTCAAGCTTTCTGGGGGATTCGCAATTATTTTTCTTGCACAGACCACTCACTGGGATAGAGAGAGTCTGCATGCCTGGGTCACAGACCGAACAGTTGGGCAAAACCAGTGTCATAGAAAAGCAAAATAAACAAATAAACCAGTCAGTAGCAGGGTTAGAAAACCAAACAAACAGAACAAACCCAAAGAACCCGAACAAGCTTAAACTGGTTTTAAAAGCCCGAACCAGCTGAAAGGGCAAGTGATGTTGACAACACATGGTGCAAACTCCGTCTTGGGGAAGAGCTGAGGTTCTGTCTGATTTTGCAAGTTGAAGGATACTGAGGGAAAACCCTTCCACTGAAACCACTTGTCTAGAAGGGGGACAGCAAAGGCGCTGAAATACGGGCAAGGCACAGATTGTTCGGGAAAACCATTGCTCTTCCAAACGCCCGTCACCAAGGGAGCTGGAGCTGACCCGGCAGCTGGAGCCGCGAGATCAAGTACCCGCCTGAGAACTGGGCTTCTCATAAATGCACGGGCAACATTGCAAACCAGCATCAATAGTGATAAACACCTCCGTACCAGAGAAATACTCGCTTTTAGCACAGCTCACGTATTGCAGTTATGTAACTTGTTTCAGGCAAAAAAAAAAAATTAAAATAAATAAAATAAAAAAATCCCATCTCCAGTGCATTCTGCTTGTCGTTGCTGGCAGAGGAAACGTTCGTCTTCATTATTTTGTTTCTCAGTGATAAACACTTTCATCTTTGGTGGCATCTGAGATACCAACTTCCTCAGTATACTGCACAGTGTGTTAATTAATAAAGTATCAGAGCTGCATAATAAGAAACAGCAGCGGGAACGAGTTAATTAAGAGACAGCGGGACAACAGAGAGATTCACAGATATGCTTTAAAATACAGATTTGAAAGTAGTGTTAAACGAAGCGCCAGAGAAGGTGTGCCCAGGGGAGGAACGGCGAGGAGGAGGCTTATCCGCCACCAGCGGCGGCTGCCTGCTCGCCCTCTGCCGAAGGAGAACATCATCATCATCATCCCGAACCACGGCAAAGCAGCGCACAAACACCTGGAGGAGGAACACCGAGCGTCCGTAAAGACCAAACACATGGGTTTAAAATTGCAAAACGTGGCTCCGCTGCAGATCTCTGAGCACTCAACAAAGTAGGTCAGGATCGTTTTTCCTCCGAGACACAGAGAAGCTGAGACACAGAGGTTGCCTGAAGTCAGGCTTGGTCTGTTGGTACTGGCTGATCCAAAAACTCCGGGGAAAAAAAGATTGTTTTCAGTGGGAAAGAAATAAAATGGTGAAAAGGAAAGGCTGAGAAAGAATAAAGCAGAATAATAACCCCCAAGTTTTTCGCTGACTCGCACAGAATTGTTTTACAATTATTACAACCTGAAATTACTGCAGTCTGATTTTTTTTTCTTTAAAAGAAAACAATACTGATTTTTAAAAGTAAACTTCATTTTTAAATGAGGAAAGAAAGTCTCGTTGCTAGCAAGCTCAAAAAGTTTAAACATTTTTTAAATGCTTTTTTTATTTTTCCCCCATCAAAATTAGACGGAATCAACTCAAACCCATGAGCAGGGTTACCCAGCTTCCCTGGAACGCCCCCCTCGGCACGGGCAGCATGCTGGATAAAAGCACAACCCCCCTGGTTGTGAGCCTGGGGCTCCTGCTCCACAAGCAGGGCCAAGGCGTCTCCCAAGCGCAGGAACATCGAGGGGAAGTCATCCCTGCGTCTCTGCGAGGAAAAACGTCTCCCTCCTGGCATCACGCCTAAGGAGAATTTAAAGTTATCAGCTGCTCCTGCAAAGCACCCGTGCCCTCCCTGGCTCTCCATCACCCCAAGCCAAGCTACTTCCAACCTCCCAGGAGAGACTCCGATTTCTCGTGTTAAATAAGGATGTGGCGATTTTGGAGAATTCATTGAGAGAAAAGAAAAAAAAAAAAAGCCAAACCAACCAACCACAGACTGTTACCAAGCTCCAAGGTTTGTCACTGGAAAAGGCACGCGTTCCTTCCGCGGCGTCCTTCCTCGAGGCGCCCGCTCTGACCCAGCAGAACAGGAGAGGATCTGTTCTATAGTGTCGAGACCAAAGGGCTGTCGCGTGTGGGATGGAGCAGTGATTCAGACACATCTGAGGCTGCTGCGAAGATCCTCTGCAAGCCCTCATAGCGCTTCATCGCTTTCATTTGGGAAAAGCAGGCTATCCCGCCAGGATCAGCCATACAGCCCCAGCGAACAGGCACACAGGGCAATATTCCCCAGCATCTTCTGATTTCTAATTACTGTGCCAGTGAGGACCTTTAAGAGCCTTGGAAATCAGGACAGAAGAACGCTGACAGGCGCTCACCCCCAGATACCCCCACTCCACCGTGGAGAAACGACCGCATCCCCAGGCGTGCAGGGAGAAAGAGGCCAAGGGGTCTCAGCCCTGGCACCCACGACAGCAATATTTCTGTTGTTAAGAGTCTACCTATGTTAAAGAACCCCTGTGTCCAGGGGAAAAAAAGAAAAAAACCCACCCTAGATCAGGAGATTCATTGTTGTTGTTGTAAACCTATTATTAAAAAAATAAAAATCAGTATTTTATATTAAGTAATTGTGATCTACATGACTTAAGTGCTTGAAAAAAAGGCTGAAATCGCTGGGAAGGCTGCTAGCTCAGCAACCCGCCCCAAGGATAATTACACGTCTTGCATGGGTCACGCAATCTCTGTTGCCTGGATGGAGAAGCCAAAAATCTTGTTATAGTCAATAATGATTACAGCTGAACTGAGCATCTTTGGACAGAGAGGCAGCTGTGGCCAGACTCTCAATAGTGAGGAAAAAAGCCACTAAATGCAATGTACAGCTTCAAATGTGTAATTTCCATGGGGTTTTTAAAGAAAAGGGGACTCGGGGTGGAGAAAGGAAACAGCGTGGAATTTGGGAGGGCAGATTTCAGGTCCTTCTGGTGATAGAGAGTTTTCTACTGCCTTTGGGAAGTCAGCTCTTGGCTCCTCTGCTGCCCACGGGCGAAGGGAGGTGACAGCTCTTTTTGTAACGGGCCAGTTCTGGCAGGGGTGCGGCGCTCGGACATGATGCCGTTATCCCGAGCCAGGTGGAGAGCTGCTCCAACAGGGCGCTGGAAGAGCCTTCCCAAAGGCAGTGGCTGATGTGACGCCCCGTTCACCTTCATGCCACCTCTGGCAGAAAGGAATTTTGGATAAATGGTAAGCAGCAATTATGGATAAGTGGCAAGTATCAATGACGAGACCCCAAATATTTTATTTACAGCATGTAGCTACGCTACTTTCCATACAACAGCGGCAGGAGAGACCAGCATGAAAGCTCTCGCTGAAGCAGCATTAGGACCAGAAACGGCTGGAGCCGAGCGAGGCAGACCGAGGGCAAATAAAAGAGGCAGAGAAGTAAGATGCAAGAGGACCGAGACCCAGGTAAGACAATTCAGACACGCTGATGGATATTCTGATTTTAAACTGCTGGTGCCTCTTCCAGGCAAGTGACACTATTACAAATTGGCTAATACATGCTCCCCGTCACTGAAATGGGTTAACGGGCATTATTTTCTTATTTGCTTTGTTTTGCTCAAGTCCACCCCGGGCAGCGCTTGACGTCAGGGTAGAAGCTCCTACTGTAGCGGTGGGGTGATCCATCCCAGCCACCCGACTGTACCAGCCACATTAGCTTCTGTTTACATCCAAACTTATGAGTTTGAATAAAAGCGTTTCGATCTCGGCGGAGGACCTCACGGCAGGCAGAGGCCCATGCCATTTTTCATTCCCTAGCAGTAATAGATGCCCAAGGAATTGGGTGCATATTGTCCAAATGGCACATATAGAAGAAGTTTGACTTTCATATTCTCATCTTGTATTCTTCTTACAGTAGGAAACACATGCGCACAGTTATTTAAACTGTCAAGCTAATTCACAGTGCTCCCAAGGTAAAAACCTCCAAGGGAATTAAGCCATAAAAATGTGAAAGTTGCAAATTAAGGATTTTGTCATAGGATTTCTGCAGTAATATATTACCCTTGATGGACTGGAGAAATGGCAAACGCTCTAACTAGCTCCAAACTGCTGTGGCAATTAACGGCAGTCTGGGAGCCGAAGCCACGCTGCACCCCGCAACCGAGAGGGGGCTGCTCCGCACAGCTCCAGCACTGGGAGCCTCCCAGTCATCCCGCGACTGGTCCCACTGGTACCGTGCTTTAAAGCAGCTGGCCCCAAAGAGGGTTCCCGTTTGCGACGGTTATTTCTGTCTAGCAAGTGAAGAGAGCAGGTAACCGGGGTTCTGCAACCAAATGCAAAGACCGTTATGAAGAAAATGGGGATCGGAGATGCACAAGAGAGATGTAAACTGCAGCATACGCAAGATACATCATCCAAGCAAGCAAATGTTCAACTCCTTTAGCAATGGAGTTTTTTTAATTCCCGGGAATCAGTTGGTCACAACGATGATGGGGCAGTCAGTTCTGTACCACCCTACTCCTGAAACAATATCCTTTCTCTTCCAGGCTATGTATGGAAGCCCAACATTGGCATCATTCTCATCCCTCTCGGTTGCCAGCAAATGTTTTTCTAACAACATCAAATCCGGGACGGGAACACCAGGAGCAGACCTGGTAGGCTCAGCCTTTCCAGATGCGCCTTTGTCCAACAAGTAAGCCGTGAAAACGCACAACAATCTATGAAAAGGAGAAGACAACAAGGCAAACCATTTCCTCAAACAATAACTTGAAAATTATTTGGTTTTACAGCTTCTAGTTCTCCCAGTGGTTTGTGCCACTTTGGCAAACTGACCCGATTGTTTGGGATTGTTCCCGGCATTAAAATTCCCCACAC